TATATATATATATAATATTTTCTGAATTCCCTTGTGAGGTGTGATAAGAGGCATGGCATGGTGTATCATACTCTGGACAAAACACGCGACGACTTGACGATGTGCGCATCTATTGACTATTGTATATCTTTGCAAGTGAGTGAGTGTGTATGGGACTCAAACCCATCTTCCGACACCAAAGCCATAAAACGTGAATCCAGAAATTGAAACGGGCAAGCCAATGAATGAGATTGAAGATTGAATCGGATCACTTGAAGCAGAAATACAGTGAATCTGATACCAAGAGATTTCCTTTCCTTGGTTTCGGTCTCTTGTCGAGGTACACTGAGGCCAAGCTCTGCAAGAGAATCATGAAAAAACATCCATAAATCAGTACATTACACCATAAAAGCATATGCTTGTACATTACACCATAGAGAAGAGCACATGAACAAAGAACAATACAGAACATGGAACATTCATCAATGCATGGTTGTCTGAAAATTAAAGCAGGCCCCTTAACCTTTTATCAGACAAAACATGATAATGTTCTTGTTCTCGTAGAAACTACACGATGCTCTAAAACCATGATGAGTTGTGTAGATTAAGAACAATCTATTTTTTTTCCTTTAGTTTTTAATGTCGTCTATGTTTTGTAAATTTCTCTCTCCACATCTTCAACATTTTTTCCAAAATTAAAATTATTAACATATTACTATTGACCCGTGGAAAAAAACATTTTGGATCCAAAAATAAAATTACTAACATATTACTATTGTCCCCAGGAAAAAAAATCTGGGTCCACCTGACACAGATATTTGGTGCTGAAATGGCTTGAGAAAGGAAATTGAAGAATTATCTCGTCTTGGATGATCCATCGACACTCCATCTCGTCTATATAACTTTCTAAATTGCTCTATTTATTTGTCATCATCTGTTGCTTGGGGCCAGCAAACTCTTCTCACTTGAAGGAGAGAATCGAAAGGTATTTTCATGGGCATCATGTTACAACATCTGTTGCCTATGCTCAAAGCTTCCAAGAGCAAGTCTGATGTGCAGGAACAGAAGGGTATGACCAAAATTGACAGCAATCCGGATGATTCCGCAAACATTTGAGAGTCTGACAAATCAGGCCGAACCTCGAGGATCATCTCAAAGATGAAAACCAGTACTTGTACGAGACTCGAACATGTCAAGCTTCCACTTTGGTGCATCCTTGTGAGGATTATTAGCCTTCCATTGCTATGGATCCTACTCTTGACCATGCAGAAAAGCCTACGCCAGTTTAAAATCCAAATCTTTCATTTCCAAGTGCCTGAAATGTTTTATTATCCTGTTTTTGCTACTAATTTGCCTACAACGTGCTGGCCTTCTTCTGATTGCTGTCACTCAACAACTGGGTGAGACAGCAAAAAAGGAAGTATTCAAACAGTATCAAATTCTTGTCTACTTGCATATGAGGTTTCTTCAACCTTTGAAGCTAACAACGGCAGAGAGGTAGATGAAGCTAACAACGCTCTTCAACCTTTTCTCGGGTCAATAAACAATGGCAGAGAGGTGGATGAAGCTTCTAAGCTCTCTCCTCTCTTCGACATCCTACGGGAAAAACCCAAATTTTGGGTAAAATTCGAGAAAGGGATTACGAGAGCAATCGACGTTTAGCTTTTCTATGAAAGACGTGCAGAGATTTTGTTAATCACAAAAGAAATCATCTGAACTATGCTTCGGGTTTTTAACCCTAATAACCCACTTGGGTCGCAGCAATTTCAGGGTACACCACCGAAAAAAAAAAAAAATTTGCGACCTTATTACGACTAATATATAACTAATATACAACTAAAATAAGAGTAGTTTATTAGTCGTAATAAGTTGTATATTAGTTATATATTAGTCGTAATAAGGTCGCAAATTTTTTTTTTTTTTTCGGTGGTGTATACTGAAATTGCTGCGACCCAAGTGGTTATTTGAGTAATATTCCCCTATGCTTCTAATCATCAATTGATCAAAACCCTAAAGTCAAAATTATCACTACAAGCTTCTCAAAACGGTTGATGAAGCCTCAGAAGGAAGGCAGTAGATGGTTTGTGTAATCACAATTACTTGTCATAAATCAACACATCTCCAAATCTTTCATCATAGGCTCCAAATCATCGTTTTGAATTCGATCTCGAAACAAAAACAAAATTGGCCTCATTGAGAAGATTAGGCCAATCGACATAGAAATGATTCAGACATATGCTTGTCTTTGTTAATCATTTAATCATCGGCCAAAATATATTCAAATGAAAGAGAAGAACAGAATCGAACAGGAGAAAAAAGAAACGAAAATTGTAGGGGACTCAGAATATGGGTGGTGATATATCAGGATGGTCGTCAAGGCAACCAAAACAGAGATCGCCGATTACGACGAACGAGACCTTTCTGACGAATTCTTCACAGCCCCTTGCACTAAACTCACATCAATGAAATCGAAGCTATGCGATTCGCAGAGGAAATGAGTGATCAACAGAGAAATCATATAGATACCGCATTCGAATCCAATCACATCGAGAAAAGGCATTACAAATCGATGCCGGAAACCGAGAGAATCGGAGAGATCCTTTGAACATACGAAGAGGGCTGGATGAAGGAGGTGAAAGGATTAAGAGGTGTATATATACAGTGGGAGAATGAGATGGGAACTAGGGTTTCTACGAGAGATGGAGAGATTTTATTAGGGTACGCGAGGGAGCACAAGTGTTCTGATGAAGAAGCGACTTTGATCTCAGTGGACGGTGGAGGTCTTGTTTTGCTCTTTCGTAGTGGGCCCGCTTCTTGAAATTAGTCAGATTCATATATACCGAATGAATTCTAAAAAAATAAATAATTTTATTTTAAAATTACAAATGGGAAACATATATATATATATAAACTATACTTGTATAATTTTATATAACTTTGCATTTAATTTTATCTATGATTTGTTTACAAAGGATCCAGCAGATTTGGGGGTGCAGAATGCAAATATTTTTATATATTTTTCTGATTCTGATGATATAATCTTTTTAAATATCTTTATGTAATCCGAATTTTTTTTTGTTATGTATAACAAATATTTTGTTATTTTAATCAAAGTTAGAGTAGAATTTGAAACTCGATTATTCACAAAATCTATCTTAATTTTTTTTTAAACATCTTATTTTTCTTTCAAAAAACTTTTTGCTATAAATAGTTCAGATTTTGGTTTTGTGGTATTGAGATGTGGTCTGATTATTTATAATGATATTTTTAAAAGTTCTGCAGATTTGGGGGTGCAGAATGCAAATATTTTTATATATTTTTCTGATTCTGATGATATAATCTTTTTAAATATCTTTATGTAATCCGAATTTTTTTTTGTTATGTATAACAAATATTTTGTTATTTTAATCAAAGTTAGAGTAGAATTTGAAACTCGATTATTCACAAAATATATCTTGATTTTTATTTAAACATCTTATTTTTCTTTCAAAAAACTTTTAAAGCCATTTATGCCTATTATTATTTGTTTCAAGAGTCATGTAGATATTGAAAAGTTCCTAACGTATAGTCTAAAACTCTTTTTAACTATTTATAATCGATTATGCTTTTAATTTTATTAATAACTTTTTTATATATAAAAGTAGAGTTTTTGCTATGGACATGACACGTGTCCCTCTATCCAATCCTATTGTTGGTAAAATATCTAATCAATTTATAATTAAAAACTAAGAGAAAAACATTTAATTATCTTTTATATGCATTAACCACAAAATCCAAGAGTATGTAAACCTATTCAATTAATTTTAATATTTTATAAATATAATTTAAAAGTTTTTATATTTTTTTGCGTACATAATAAATACATATATTTATTTATGAAGAAATATTTACTATATATAATAATTAGATTTTATGTTTTTTTTTTCATACAACCGTGTTTTTGTATTCAAATTATAATATTCAATTCGATTTTTTCAAAAACTCACAGAGGAGAAAACAAACAAAAGAAAATCAAAAATCAAATTCAAAACATATTTTCTTTGGGATGGGGAAGATCGGATGAAGCACCAAGAAAGCGAGATCGACCTTTTAGTTATTTCTCCTGAGAAAAAATTCAGAAATTGTGAAATAATGGGTTGATAATGATGAAGGCCAATAACGCATATAAGAGCAGTACCCAAAGACTCTTTCTTCTCTTTTGGAGAAAGTAGGACCGTTGGATTTAGAGACAAGCAATCTCTTTTTATTTTGGTTGGTAGGTGATTGGCTCTAGAGAAATTAATTAAATAATTTTCTGTACCAAATAACAGTACCTATTTTTATTTATTTTAAACTAGTTTAGTATCCGCGCGATACACAGATTATTCTTTTTTTAATTATAAAATTAGTTAAAATTAATATTAAAAATAATACTAAAAATAATATAGATTATTTATTTGATATAAAAATATATTTAAAATTTAATTATTGTAATTTTATATAATGAATCTAAAGAAGTAAAGCTGTAAAGAAATATGAATATCGTTTTCTATACGTATAGGTTTGATATTAGTAATTTGTTATGGACGCCATCAACTCGATCTTTCTTTTATTTGATCTCAAAAAACATTTAGTTAAAAGATAATAAAAAATGATATTGTTAAATATTATAGATATAATTTGTTTTGAGAGTAGTTAAATATTATAAATTTATTATAGATGGACTATACTTTTGTTCTTCCATTTATCTTTGTTGTTGTATCAACAACATTGTTTTGACACAATTTAAAATTTTGAAATGTGTTAAAAAGTAAATTAGTTTTAATTGTTTCGGAAACATATACCATAAGCACTTTAATAATTTTTCTACAGAAAACGGTGAATAACTAAAATAACATCTTTATTATGTATATCACCTATTTTTTAAATTTATTTTTATATCTAAAAATTAGTGTTAATCTAATTATATACAAATGTGTAAAAAAATATTTATTATAATAATCTAAAAATTGTATAATAAACTAAAAAAACAGATACAAAAAATAATATACAAATGCATCAAATGAATTTTACCTGTTTGTTATTATGATTCACCTATCAACCCTTTCTCATTTGATCAACTTTTGAATATATAAAAAATACCACATTAATTAACCAATTAATGTAAAAAAATTATCACATAGATGATGATATGGAGGATGAGGTGGCTTCGCCACAATCTTTTAAACATCTTTATTAATATATATAGATTTTCTTTTTTTCTTGCTTTTTATAGTGGGATTTTTTGTAACAGTAATGTCTGTGTGATGTTTTAGATTTTAATATCTTTTAGATTGTACCGTTATTAATTTAGGTTTTGTATATTATGTTTTAAAAATAAAAGTAATTTATATCAAATATTTATTTGAAATTCTTATTTATAAATACGGCTGACTATCCACTATTTATTTGAAATTTTTTATCATTGTTATACTAATTATATATGCACATTACTAATATGAAAAAATGTAAATCATATTTTAGAACAGAAATTTTAAACTACCAACTTAGCAAAGTCTTATACATATCATGTTTCAAATTTAGAATTATATATAATCATCAAATTTATATCATTTTTAAGAATTAAAAAAGATAAAATTATGTTTTTTTATAATTTTATACAGTATAAAACTTTAAAATTTAGATATTAAAATATAAATTTAAAAATTTAGGTAGCCAAACTATTTTTACAAAATATATAAATTTAGATTAATATTTTTAGTATACAAGTCTTTAAAAAAAAGAATTTTAGTGTTTTTAACTTCACGAAATCTAAAATTACCATGATAGATATGATATTAAAATTTTGATGATATGATTTCAACAAATATTTTGATTTTATAAAAATAAATATTTGAGTTGTGTGATTAAGAGATGTTCTTTTTATTTGTGTATATAAAAATAAACACATTTCAATAATTTTAGCATCATCAATTCGTATATTTTAGCATTTCAATAATTTATTTGCGTTTTTTTCTATTTAATTAGATACTATTTTATACACATCTGCAAATGTAAATATTTTTAGATGAATATCTTAATCATTATTATTAGAAAAGCTAATAATTCTTCAATTGCACTTTGATAATTGCTGGACATAGATTTAGTATCTTGAACAACCATTTTTTACTAAAGTAATTAATACCAAAATGTGACAAGAACCGACAATGTGATGTTTGGACTGTTGGGTAGGTTTAGGATGGAAATTTAAAGTCACATTCTTTATTTCAATAAACAAAAAATGAATTAAAACCAAAAAAAGTAAATGAAAAAATAAAAAGCTTCAGGATTTTTTTATTTTTTGTACATCGCATTCTAAATGTTATTTCATAATGACAACAGATGCAAATAAGATTTTTAATATAATTTGAATTCGTCGGTGTTTTTTTTATTTGAGAAGAATTTGATAAATGTATGACTAATCTTTAAGTTTCTAAGATTCGGTCACTTAAACTCAATTTGACAAAAGAAAAATCAAAGAACGTATAAATTAAAACTAAAAATGTACATATTTATTTATTTTTTTAAAATTAAATTATTTTGCCATTCCAGGTACTATATTATTGCTAGTTTATTAAAAAAATAATTATTTTAAAAATAATTTTACTGGAGAATGTGAATTATTTTTATAATTTATTCTTTCTGATAGATTATACTATTTTTCTAGCCAACTAAAGAAAAATAAAATGAAATAGGCAAATATATTTATATAGTCGAATAGAAATGAATACTCAAATCTTTCCTATTGACTACAATATAATTTGTGATTAGACTGTTT